AGATCCGTCAATTTAAAACAATTGGCTGGATCTTGTGCATATTCTGGAAATCTCAGCATCTATTTAAGTAACTTTTTTCTATTATATGATGAAAAATCGTTTAACCTATGATCTCAAAGTTGTGTTATCTTGGATGGAACGTTTCACATGGGGAAGCTGGTCACTAAGACTTCTGATGTGTTTCACTAAGACTTCTGGTGTTGTCTGGAAAATTTATATGACTACTAAATGGTGTTGCGTGCTAATTATCGGCACAATGGCCTTGTTTTTAGATATTTTCATGCTATTGTGTTTACTAGCTTAATTCCTTAGTGTGCTCATATTCTGTAAAATCATGAATTGATTTTATGTTTGTAGGATGACATTATAATGAGTCTGCAGAGTAGACTAGATATCATCTGTGATGAGGCAGATGGAGAGACAGGTCCAACTGAAACCAGTGGCCAGCAAGCAAGAGATGATACTGGTAGCCAGGAAGCAAGAGATGGGATATCCAGTGGAACACCTGTTTTTCAAATTGTTCTTCAATCGTTCAGGTCTATTATGCCTGCTATCTTACTATTTTTCTAATGTCTTAGTAAAACTAGAGGTTCGCTATGAATATGATGAATGCTGATTGATTATATGCCGATCTATGCGTTTCCATAGTCCTTTTGTTATAATCCATGTTTTAAAGGCATGTTGTGTGGTGGTTTATATAAACATGTTTCAAATTTGATTACATTTCAGCAATTTGGTTGAATATATTTTCTTTGAGTGTAACTTCACAAACTTTTTTGTATATCGGAATGATTCTGTAAATATTATGGTGTTGCACAATGTGTTTCATTTCATCAGCTGCAGCATGATGACTGATTGATATCACAATACTAGTAACCTGTACTACAGGAGATATGCTGACCACCCCCTTTCCCATTTCCCCTCTTTCTCCCCCCTCTTTTCCCCCTCCCCTTTCATTATGTGGGTAGTTTCACTGGTAGCTACTTAAAGTTTTCTGTCAGGCCCTTTAGGCTACCAACTAAATCTTTGTCTGGAAATCTGCCACCTTTACTACAAAATTTTATGAATCTCCTGTTGGAGATAAAATTGTATAAATTAAGGATTACTATGTTTCAAGATTATATATTAATATTCCCTGCAAGCTACTACTCATTGTTTCTTGCACCATCAGCTTATTTTATGCTGTTAATGGGTTTATATTTCTTTTCATCAAGCAGAAGGGTGAAATCTTAATCATGATTTATGGCCAAAATTCTGTTAATCATCGGTGATTTATTATGTCACATTGCTGAACATAAGTTGACACACTGACCACATTTGTTATGCATTTTAAAACAGAGAATCATGCAGTCTTTCACTTCCCCGAAGAGTCTTTGTCCCTTGGTTGGCAGGTACATTTGTGTGCGACTACCTACAACCATCTGAGACATTTGAGGTTTGTACTTATTACTTGATAACTGAGGTTTCTACTTCTAATAAAAGGAGAGGGGAAAAAAAAACACCTACAAACAGAAAATTGGAAAATGCAAGGGTGTTGCACCCTTTTTGTCTGTGGTTCTGAATAGCTCTGCATTGGACTAGATTTTGAGCAATATGAGCTTTTCAGTTCAATGTCTTGCTCTGACCCTGTGCTTTCCGTCCCCCCTTAGGTTCTAAAAGATCGATGTGTTGAGTTGTTGTCTATGGAAGCTCCAACAGATGACTCAGCAATCTTGGAACCCGAAATAGAAGCCCCCTCTGCAGTCACCAAATCTTTTTGGGATGTGGCGGTGCCTTTTTCCTCGGCATCTAGGTCCTGTTTGGAGAAGAGTGGACTCGACACGTTGAGGAGAGAAAGTAGCCGAAAATCTATAGAGTCCTCTAATGTCAACATCATGGCTGCTGTTATATTCCTTCTTCTCTCTATCATTGTAGGATACGTTCTCATATTTGTCAGGAGATCATAGTTCAAATGAAGCCTCGGTTGTCCCATCTGGGTAAACATTTTATGGTCCTATAAAATCAATTAACTGTTTTCTGGATTTTCCCCTCTCCGTTTTGGGCAAAAAATATGCAGTTGAATCAGTTGTAATGAGGTTATAGTTTCACAAATACTTGTACAGTATGCATTTTTACATTTTTGATATGGATATATCTAAACTTGAATGCCTTAAAAGTTACATTGAGGATGAACATTAATATGATAACAGGCTGAGTCCGTAAGATTTTTCTTTTTTCATCCCAAACAATAAGAGAAGATATAAAAGGGGAAGAAGACAGTGATTGAGATACGTGTTAATGAAAGTTGTGATATTTAGCATCTTTAAAATGCTTCTTCATAGCCATTATCACTGGCTTCACATTTATAAGGCTCCGAAAAGATGAATCTTAATTGCCTAAAAAGACTATTCTCAACCAGCCCCTGAAATGACAACTATCTAAAAGAATAAAAAAGAAAGTTGCTGCCTTGGCTGTAACTTCCACATCTAAAATTATTTCAAGATTCTAATCATTCCATTGAAGAGATTACAACAGTATAGCCAATCTTGCATAAAGAACAAGACAATTGAATTAAAGAAAGGGATTTGCAGTGTAACGAATCAAAGAACTGGTTTCACAGGCAAGAAACCTAAAGAATATGTTGAAAATAAAAGACCCTACTTATTATATGTATACACTAACAGTGTTGGCTAATACAAGAAATGGAGGAGCCCGTTTGTCCACTTGTCTGCTGCTACAGGTTCTTGCATTATGTCCACATTGCTGGACTTCTGGTTTTGTCGTGCTAACCTTAACAAGCGCAAAGTGAAGTTGGGATTTACGACTCATTGACCAGAGCTGCACTCTCTCATTGTGACCAGAACGTAGCTTCAACCCAGTCTGATCCTTTTCGCTAAGAAAATCCTCTTTAACCTGCTTCATCGGTATGGAAAACTGTTGGTTATTGTCAGCCACATCAGTATCAAAAAGTTCCTTCTCGATTACCAATTTGAGGTCTCCACCACCGCTGCGACTAATCATGTTTTTCATTTCTTGAGGTATCTTTGGTTTCGGTGATGATGGTAACTTCAAATCTGCGCTGCTTTGCACATGAACCAGCTTTTGTTTCTTTTGCACTAATGCTTCATTGTTGTAGTCTTGATGATCACTCCCAAAATGAGAAGAAAGCCTCTTCCTTTTCATATTCATACAACTTACACTTTGGACAGAATCATGAGAAGCATGTGGCAAAAACCACCTTTGAGTCCTCCTCATACTTGACCTTTTCTTCTTGGGTATGTTAATGTCACCGAAGGGGAATGTTTTCAACTCTGACATTTTCTTTTTAGCGCAGAAACTGATGAATTCTGCAATAACAGTTTTTTCGTCAAGAAACTCCATCAATTGTTGGGTTGCAACTTCAGCCAACATATCCAAGGAAGAAGAAGAAGAAGATAATGATGATGAAGCCCTTTGGTTTATCTTCCTGACCACGCCCCTCTTAGGAACCAACCACCCATCAAATCCAATTCCAGACCCATGAAGTGGGTTGCCGCAGCAGTTTCTCAAGGCCATGGCCATGGTTTTCTCAACGTCTGACAGAAGATTCGAAGAATTTGAAATCGACCCATAATGAAAATCACGCTTCATATTTCCTTTCATTCCCAGATCCAAAAAGAACAAACAGAACTCTCACCCAAAAAATTAGAACAGAGCAAAAACAGAACGCTTCAAATTCACAGAAATAAACCCTACTCAGAATGAGAGAATGGGATTAGGGTTTCACAGATTTTCTTTCCTCAGTGAGTGAACTCGACTCAACTAGATTTTCACTTTCATTTTCACTTTCACACAGAGACAGAGAGAGAGAGAGCGAATAAGTTTCCAAATTGTGATCGGAGAGAAATATAAAAGGCGGTGTTTAAACCCAACTGTCAAATGGCACTCGCTCACTTCACTTCGTCGTATCTGTGTGTGATTCAAATTTCAGATTAGAATTTTAGTACCTTTGGCCCCAAGCAACTAACAACACAAGATTTTCCGACCGTTGGAGATCCCAAGTGCAAGCGCGTTCACGCGGCTTTTAAGTTTTTCTTTTTTTGACAAAAAAGTTGTGTCTTTCTTTTACCCATTTTGTTTTTATTTGTGCCCACCAGTTGAATGATTAATTGCCACATTCACATATTCACTTAAGTTTTATACATTTTCGGCATCGCCATAGCCACTGCATCACCTTTTCTAATGTTCATTGATTTCTTTTTTAATTTCGGTTTTTATGTATTTACATTTTGATAGATTCAGGTATAAATTAGAATATTCTAACTGTATAGCCGCCCGGCTATACTCTTTAAATGGAATATTTTAAAGGTACCGCCGCACGGCTATTCTATATAAATAGAATTATAATATAGCCGTTCGGTTATACCCTTATAAATTGTGTATTTTAAAGGTGTAGCCGGACGGCTGTACTCTATAAATAGAATTATAATATAGTCGTTCGGTTATACCCTTATAAATACTGTATTTTAAAAGTATAGCCGCATGGCTGGCCTATGTAAATAAGATATTTTGACAGTATAGCCGGTTGGCTAATTTAGTTTATAGTATAGCCGCACGGCTATACACCAAAAATAGACTATTTTAAAGTAAAGCCGAACGGCTGTACCCTTCAATATTTTTCTCCAACACTTCCAAATTACTGAAAATTAAAGTTTCAGAAAAAATTATTGACATAAGGACACAAAGTTTATATTTATTTTTTTAAAAACCTCTCCTAACAACATTTCGTCAGCAAAAATAAATTTCGTCAAGAGAGGTATAATCCGGCAAATATTTGCCGGCATACACCTGTGTCGACAAAAACCTTATAAATGCATAAGTTGATCAAAGTCTAACAAAACCCAGATTATCTGTCAGATGTAGAAGAAGACGTCGGCACCTTATAAATGTATAAGTTGATCAACGTCTAACAAAACCCAGATTATCTGTCAGATATAGAAGAAGACATTTCACACTGAAGCCCAAACAATAAGAGAAGGAAAAGGGGAGAGAAGTCGGTTGAAGATGGTATTAATAAGAGATGTTTATCTTTAAAAAAAAAATACAAGGAACTTCTAAAACCATCAATGATATTCAGGTTAAACCAATGTATCTATAAGGCTCCAAAAACAAGAATCTTCAAATTGCCTAACAGAGCAAAGCAAACCTTAAAAAGACTAAATTTCTGTCTCCCCTATAAAAATAATCAAGAAAAACATGAATCTCCACCAGCCACTGAAAAATCAAGGCTTCAGAATAATCATATTAAGTGTGTGAGAATGTCCATCATCAGGGGCTATATTTACTTGGAAGCACCCTTCTCTGATTGCTTCTCATCTGCAATGTCACTAGGGAGGTCAGGCCCCTGAGGAATTTTTCCAGGATAATTAGTTGTCGAAGAATCAGACCCCATCAAACTGCATAGAGGAGACAAAAGATTAAAGTTCTGCATAAGCTAATATATGTTCTCGACGTTTTGTTTACTACAAGCTCACCTCCTATCAACAATTATCACCGAGCGAAGCTCACAATTGGCAAAGCTGCATAAACAGAATTCCACTCTTAAGCTTAGTATTCATCCAAAAAACACAAAGAGAAAAAGAAAAGGACTCATCCTCCTCCATATTAAAACCAATGATCCTAAACATGAGGAACGCTTTTACACTGATATGATTATAAACATTTCCAGCACAGAACAATGTAATAGAACTAGTAGCCTGATGGGCAAGTGTGCAACTGTCTAGTTAGCAAAAATAGTAGTTACGACCAGATACGGAGTACCACCAGATCTAGACATCACAATATGCAGGGAATAGTTACATCTAAAGGAAAATAAGGATACAGTTCCACCTATGAAGCATCAAACAAAAGAATAGAGTGGCTATTTCTAAATAACAAATATTAAGAAAAACGCAAAACACATTGAAGCAAGTATTATTGTGTGTTTATTGATAGATTGAAGTAAATATCATTGAATTAACAAACATAAATATTCAGAATGTACAACAACATTCTGAATAATTCTCACACAGAGACACCATACAGAATGTAATCAAGAACAGAGCTTGAAAATGCAGCAAAGAGCAGCTCGGTTATTTATTCTCGTAGTGTATTATTATCATAAGAGATTTCATGCTGTTGACTTAAAAGTAGGGATAAAAGAGCCACCATAACACTTACTGTGTGCATATTTCACTCTTTATCGATGGATGGCAATCATTTCCAAAAGCACTCAAGGTATGATACAAGAATCCACTGTGGGTAACAATTGCAATCTCCTTCTCTTTACGTGTCCACAACCTGGACAAATTGAAAGTGGGAAAAGAAAAATCAGTGAACACCTTTCCATAGTGCCAATACAAGAACCAATGTCAAAATAGTCGAAGGCTGAAATCTATAATTCAAATCATTGACATGTAAGGTCAGAAGATAGTATGATCTATTAGATTCATTGTAAAACTAAACAATTCCATCATCTCCCTTTTCAATTTCAGAAAGTGGTCAACTCTGAAAATGATAATGAAAAAAATGTATGCTATATGTTCAGAAGCTATGCAAGATTGAACCAAATGATTTCTTCTACAAGGGGAAACCACAGTAACTAAGAAAATTTGTTGCAATGATACTTGGGTCAACATCAGCAGATATGAACTAATGGACATTTCCCAACAACTATAAATAAATTTGTGTAACAAATCAAGGTGCTTCAGGTGAAAAAACAGCGTGATGAGAATATCATAATACTTATAACTGAACTTGTAAGAAAACAACAGTTACAGCATGCTAGCACCTCCTTAAAATCCATGTGGCATACCCACAGCATAAAGGATATGAAGATTATGCTGTAATACTAATACATAGATATTATGGCTTTGGACAAAAGAGTTCATGTTGTTCACCCCAATTTTGAGTTAGTTTATAAATCATTCTAGCGTGCTAGTGACATAGCCTTCTTTTCACCTTTTCTTTTCCTCAAAGATTCTTATACTGATCGTCAATAATAAAGAATGCAGTCACCAGAAATTTAGCGAAATGAATTAGGGTAATCACCAGTTCAAAAACTTCAGTCCCCTAGATGCCACTTCTTCATTCTTCTCTCTAATGTCAGGCGTCCACAGAATGTCATCCTCATTCTCTATCTAAACAAACGATAAACAAGAATATATTCTAATCAATCTAAGTTGAAGATTTGACAAGCAACCAAAAACAAATAGTGACAAGAAAAATGGCAGGCATAGCTTTTCTCCACTTTTAAAAGTTACAATAAATCACTTGCCAATGAAAAATCAATTGCAGGAAAAAGAGGCCGGTACTCGCTAACACTTCTTCTCTTGTCACATGGATGAACCCCCTGCAGCACAAGAGAAAACACACACATTTGAGTGCAACATCCAGTTAAAACCCCTCTTACTCAATGATTAATGTGAAACTAGATAAATAAAATATGTTCAAAATAAACACTCAGAAGAGGTTTGTAATTTTAGGAGCAAAAGGGAGGCCTTCTCTGAGGCTTTAGACACATAGTAGTGTTGATCCGGGTATCAAAATTGTATAAAATCTAAAAGTAGGAAGGACAAGCGTCTGACTGGTCCAAATAAAATAGACTACATGTAGATAACACCAAAAAGGATTTTGTTATATAACTTACTACTAAAGGAAAAATATATGTACATGTTGGTGAAGCCTTAATGGCATGGTATAAATTGAAAGCAATCCAATATATTTGACCTTCACCCAGTTAAAAAGTTATACCATTTGCAAAGAAAAAATAACTACTGAAATCAGGATTATCAATTTTCCTTCCCCTTAGCCTTGTTTTTTCGCATAGAGGGAGAAACAATACCCAAACCAGGCTCTACTCTCTTCATGTGCTTTTTTTCTGTACCTTCTACACAAAATTTACATAGCTGTTACTAGTTTTAACTTTGAACATGACTTACCAAATGTTCACGGCAAAGCTCAACTGCTACAAATGGTGGGCAGTTTAGACTTGAAATTGCAGGATGGTTACTGTTCCCTGCATTTGCAACCATTAGAGGACGTACATCTATCCCGTCTGAGTATGCTCCACCCCCGAAGACACCCACTGCTGTTTGCATGGTCCTACATGGCAATCATTGGTCAAAACAGGTTGCTTTTTCTTTTTTCAACTTCCACCAAATGAAACATCCACTCTTTTTTGTCTGGTATGTAATGTGCAGACTCCAAGAAATAAAAGTGCCTTGTAAAACGGAAAATGTTTTCAAGGAACATAGACCCAAGCAATCATTCATCCACTTATTCATGTACATAACTAAAATAATAACTCCTAAAGCAAAAATAAAAATTTACTCTATTACATGAACCAAATAAATTTAATTTCTCTAGAAAGGGGCTAGTTATCTTAGCAATTATCACTTTTTGAAAAGAGATCCATCTAAAATCAGGACCATATATTCAGCAGCCACTAGGCATATACAAATCACCTACATAAGAAAAGTTGTATTAAGGATAGCATCGACCTTGAGTCTGTATGCAGTGAAGCAGATATCACATCCTACCCATCTGGAGTTATTATAGAAGTCCCAATTCACAATTCTAGATTGTTAAACCTGACATATATGATAGAATTAACTATTTATATATTTCCTTTGGATGCATGTTCTTCACCTCCTTAAGTTTCTGAATTATTTCAACAGCACCTCATCATCTTAAGGTATATCTGATTTCAAATGTTCATAACAAAACTAAATACCACCTTGACAAATCATTCCCCACCCAATCACCCCTTCCCGTTCCCCCACCCCTCCCCACAAAAATAAATAAAAATAAAAGGAACCCCACTTTAAAAAAAAAAAAATTATAAAGGAAAACATATAACTGTCAAGTACAAATTAAAAAGCTCTTATTGGCATATTAAAGGAGCAGCCCTCCAATCAACTGAAAAGGAAGTAATCCTTTATGAATCTGAGGTAGAAGCAAAGATGACATTTAGAATCAAGTAGTAAAGGAATAAAGGTGCGTAGCTTGTTCCCTCTTAAATTAAACTAATGGATAATGTCCCCTAGTTCTCATAAAATATGTCATATATTGCTATCAGTTACATATTTCACAGAACTAATGGGTTTGTCTGAGTTTGTGTATGAGATAATCAGTGCATATATTTTATCTCGAAAAATCTATCCTAAATACCAAGCATCATCCAAGTTCACAATAAAAAAGAAAAAAACCTAAACAAAACAAAATAAAGGGGAAGTGATTCACCGAGAAACACACAATTTCACAGTTATGATTAGGATCCATGCAGCAGTTGATCATAGAAACTGAGAAAAAAATGGTATCTGAGAAGGAGATACCTTAACAAAGGAGATGTGATGACTAACTCAACTCTCTTAGAAAGTCCACATGCTTGAACATGCTTGTGTAGATTATCAACCTGTTATGAGGGCACAAAATCACTATATGGAATTTGTTGATTTATTGGGAAAAAATAAAAAGAACATACAGCACCCGACATACGAAACTTAAAGGAGAGAGAAATCTAATGCAAATCCTCCTTATAAAGTTGTTCTTACAGTGAAAAACAAAGAAAATTCTTTGATGCCATGTTTGGTACACCATTAAACTAAACAGTCTGAATTCAGTGTTTTGTAGAAGTCCAGGCTCTTAAGCAACCGGATTAAAACAATCAGGTAACTTAAGATCAGTAAACTCCACATAGGACTAAGTTGCACAAGAAACACATAAGCGCCCTTTTTTCTCGCAGCACCCTTTCTTTGGTGAGAATGACTATGCATTTTGATATATCTCAACATCACATTAACAAAAAATGTATGTCCAATAGCATATTGTTTATTATTATAAATATTTATTATGAACTTTAATGATGGGTTTCAGGTTGAAATGGTCATTGTACCAGCAACAATTGGACAAATGGATGTTTTTCCAGGACATTTACCTACTATTGCATGGGTTCCTATCAGTGCATAAATGGAATGACATGATAAAGTAATGCTGGTGGCTTTACATTAAGATAGTGGATCCAGTTTGATAATATGTACAATTCCATGACTACTCTGGCTCTCGATAATCCAATTTCTACTCTCTAATAGTTACTTTTGATGGGATGGCTATCTAATATTGGCTGTCTCTTTTCAGATGCTGTCAAAATTTCAGAAATTTTTTATCCACTAACCAAGCTATTTTGTATTTTCACTAATTTTGATTAGATGATTATGGATTTCTGAATATGAACCTAAGTTTTGTACTTGTCTTAACTTTCATTCATGGTTGCATAATGTACAATAATTTTTTCTCATCCAACAATCAATTTTCATCTCAAAAAATTTATTAATCAGTAAAAATATTAAATTTGTAGTTCAGTTTGGCCCCCTATTGGGTACAAAACCAAACCCAGTACAACATAACCAGATTCTTGGTTCAGTTCAACAACAAACCCACAACAATATAAAAAACAATAAGAGTAGTATATCGGTACAATCCACTTAAAAACGTGTGCTTGACATATACCAAACGAACGTGTAGAAAGTTCCAAAAAAAATTAACATACTCTGATTCTCTCATACCAAACATAAGTTCAACTGAACATTCTCATTAGTGATTACCTGATTCCAGCCAAGAGGTGTAAGATGTGCATCAAAAAGATCATAAGACATGTATGCACTATGATCCTTTTCGCCTTCCACATTGTGAATCCCTTGTGCATGCCTTACCTGTATATATCATCACTTAGTCAAAAATACCCAAATGCACTCTACGACCAGTATTAAGTAAAATGAAGGAAAAAGAAATGAAGGGCCAGAGTTTGCAACAAACCAGGTGAAGAGTTTTAGAACGGTGCAGAGGGTAGAGACTTGGACCTGTAGTGGCATCCATATCTGCACCAATGAACCCCCACCCCAAAAACAGAAAAATAAATAAGAAGGAAAAAAAAAAAAAAAAAAAAAAAAAAAAAACTAAACAGGGTAGAGCACGCGAGCATATCCAAAGTATATATCAACACAGTGCGATGAAAGAGACCTTCACATCTTCAGAAGAATATGGCCTAATAATTAACATTCGTGTTCAGAAATCTAGAATAAAGGGCCCAACACCAGAATAAAATACAATTATTTGGCTTCACAGCTAAAAGGATTTCACCTTTTTTGACTGTAAAGGATCTTATGGAGGAATAAACGGATATCCAATTGTGTTCACCACTCAATCATCAATAAATAAATATATAACCAACAACAAAATCATACAAAACTTAAAACCCAGTTTGATTGGCAGATCAGATCAGAGGCAGGCATGAAGTAAAAGAGATTTTTTTTTTTTTTTTTTTGGTCGAGAAGTAAAAGAGAAAAAGCAAACTTGCAAAATGAAAAAAAACAAAGCATAATTGAATTTACAGAAGATAAGAGATGAAGAAGCGAACTGCAAATAGGTGTTCCCTACCTGGTGGTGGTGGAGGAGAGGAGGAGAAACAAAGAATGGCAGAGCGCGGTGGTGAGAATCTTGGGAGCTTAGAAATGGGAGAGGGGACAATGGGGGGATTTTGAGAGAGGGGAGGGGTATATATAGCAGAGATGGAAATGGTCATGGTTGATGGCTTGGGTGAGAGCTACACGTACGTATGTGTCAACTTGTGACTGCCTAGAGATACGTGAAGGCCGATTGTCCAATGTTCCATTGCACATGGGGCATTTGAAGCCTGTCTCTGGTTCCAGGTCTTGTCGTCATTGTACTCGGATTTGTTTTATTTATGTTATTTTATTTTTCTGATCCCCCAAAAATAAAAAAACCAAAAACTTGGAAGTTGGATGGAGGAGGGTCGTTGTTTTTCGACCCTATAGGGTAAATAGAGCATGGAGAGAGAGACAGGGACAGAAGCAAGCCATACTTCAATACTTGGCAGTTTTCTATTTATAAAATAATTGGCTTGTTATGATGCATCGGCTTCTGCTTGCGTCTTCTTGGCTCTTGCAGCTTTTGCTCCATCTCTTACATTTACATAGGCGGTGGTCCATGGCTGGCCCAGCTAATCAATGTAGTCGAAGACCGTATGATCTCTCCATTTAACGGTCTGGATTGAGTTATAAGCTTTTCTCCAAGTGAGGGCTATATCCCCAAAATCCATCTTCAAAAGTAAAGGTGGTAATATTGTACAGGACATGAATTCACACACAAAATTTAGTATTCAAGTCTGAGTTATCGCGTCGTGTTGATATCGTGTTGACCCGTTAAGCTATCGTGTCATATCGTGTCAATTAGCGAATAGCCGTTAACCTATTAAGCTCAATGGCATTTTTGTAAATTTATCCCTTTTTATATTTTTTTTCCTTCTCTTTCTTCTCTTTCGTCTTTTTGTAAATTTATTATTGTTTTTTTATTTTATTTTTTTTAATTCTTAACGGGTTATCGTGTCATGTCGTGTGATTTGCAAATTGTAACGGGTCGTGTTCATGTTTGACATTTTCAATCTATTTTCTTATCATGTCGTGTCGTGTTAACCCATTAAAAAAAATTGGTTGACACGAACACTGCAAACACGACACGAATGCCATGTCTATTCAAAAGTGGACTACATAAATGACTTTTTTCTTTTCTTTTCTTTTCTTTTTTTAAAAAAGGGAGCTTGCAAAGGGCTAATTCCTAATATTTTCTAAAAAATTCCTTTGTATAGATACCTATCTCATTCGTACATAATTTATCACAACATCTTCATCCATTTACATAATTTCTCATAATCTCTTCATTCTTTTACAAACTATCCTTCATATTTTTAGATTTTTAAGTTATTTTAGAACAATAAAAAATCTAATCATAAATATATAGGGCTAATCACGTGCAGACAGGTGGATGTCAAAATTCCTATCCCAAAATATTTTTCTTTTTTAAAATATATTTTAAATAGGATATAAATAGTAGTTTAATTCAATTAACTAATAAATTTACATCATATACTAAAAACTATTAAAATATTAAAATATTAAATTTAGCCATTTGCTGCTGGAGACGATTAAAATGTAGCTTGACATTATTCCTTATAAAATCATTTTTTAGAGGGCTAAATGTAGCCCATAGCTAAATATAGCCACCCCCACCTGGAGATGGCCTAACTTAACTCAATTAAAATAATAATCATGTAATAATCATGTTGACATAGTCACATAGGGGACCAATCAAGCCAAATTAACCAATAGTATCACACCGCGTGGATACTGACCCCACTCAAAACTATGTCGACCAGGGTAGACCTTCACAACCAACCACTAAACCAGACAGGCTGAACCATACACCTCACCCTAGCTCAGAGTACAAGGCACTGACCGCCCACCCACTTCGCCATAGAAAAGAGAGGTGCTTTGAAGTTGGGCTTAGGGAAATATTAGTTATGGGATTAGAAATTTAGCATTGGACTTAAACAATTTTTTTTAAATAAAAAAAATACACATACTATCGGATCTGGTCTATTCCGATTTTGTAATGTGTGAAATCATAATCGAAACCAGTTTGAACCGATCTAATTCGATGTCGATTTGTTGACTTTTTAGTTAACATATTTTTTTGTCCGGTGTGGCACAATGCTTTGATTTTCCGATGCCCACCCAATTGAGGCCTATCTCTTTTGTAAGTATGCCATCTTCTAAAAGCAAAACTTTACAAAACTATTTTAATTTTAACTAGGCTAAACTTTACAAAACTATTCATCCAAAAAAAAAAAAAGGGCTAAGCCCCTATTTGACTTTACATAGGTCAACCAATCAAACCGACTGAATCAGGCCAAATTGTCCTAGGAATTTTTATTATTATTAAAAATACATGTTTTGAACCGAACCAAAATATTGTACAGGACATGAATTCACACACAAAATTTAGTATTCAAGTCTGAGTTATCGCGTCGTGTTGATATCGTGTTGACCCGTTAAGCTATCGTGTCATATCGTGTCAATTAGCGAATAGCCGTTAACCTATTAAGCTCAATGGCATTTTTGTAAATTTATCCCTTTTTATATTTTTTTTCCTTCTCTTTCTTCTCTTTTATCCCTTTTTATATTTTTTTTCCTTCTCTTTCTTCTCTTTCGTCTTTTTGTAAATTTATTATTGTTTTTTTATTTTATTTTTTTTAATTCTTAACGGGTTATCGTGTCATGTCGTGTGATTTGCAAATTGTAACGGGTCGTGTTCATGTTTGACATTTTCAATCTATTTTCTTATCATGTCGTGTCGTGTTAACCCATTAAAAAAAATTGGTTGACACGAACACTGCAAACACGACACGAATGCCATGTCTATTCAAAAGTGGACTACATAAATGACTTTTTTCTTTTCTTTTCTTTTCTTTTTTTAAAAAAGGGAGCTTGCAAAGGGCTAATTCCTAATATTTTCTAAAAAATTCCTTTGTATAGATACCTATCTCATTCGTACATAATTTATCACAACATCTTCATCCATTTACATAATTTCTCATAATCTCTTCATTCTTTTACAAACTATCCTTCATATTTTTAGATTTTTAAGTTATTTTAGAACAATAAAAAATCTAATCATAAATATATAGGGCTAATCACGTGCAGACAGGTGGATGTCAAAATTCCTATCCCAAAATATTTTTCTTTTTTAAAATATATTTTAAATAGGATATAAATAGTAGTTTAATTCAATTAACTAATAAATTTACATCATATACTAAAAACTATTAAAATATTAAAATATTAAATTTAGCCATTTGCTGCTGGAGACGATTAAAATGTAGCTTGACATTATTCCTTATAAAATCATTTTTTAGAGGGCTAAATGTAGCCCATAGCTAAATATAGCCACCCCCACCTGGAGATGGCCTAACTTAACTCAATTAAAATAATAATCATGTAATAATCATGTTGACATAGTCACATAGGGGACCAATCAAGCCAAATTAACCAATAGTATCACACCGCGTGGATACTGACCCCACTCAAAACTATGTCGACCAGGGTAGACCTTCACAACCAACCACTAAACCAGACAGGCTGAACCATACACCTCACCCTAGCTCAGAGTACAAGGCACTGACCGCCCACCCACTTCGCCATAGAAAAGAGAGGTGCTTTGAAGTTGGGCTTAGGGAAATATTAGTTATGGGATTAGAAATTTAGCATTGGACTTAAACAATTTTTTTTAAATAAAAAAAATACACATACTATCGGATCTGGTCTATTCCGATTTTGTAATGTGTGAAATCATAATCGAAACCAGTTTGAACCGATCTAATTCGATGTCGATTTGTTGACTTTTTAGTTAACATATTTTTTTGTCCGGTGTGGCACAATGCTTTGATTTTCCGATGCCCACCCAATTGAGGCCTATCTCTTTTGTAAGTATGCCATCTTCTAAAAGCAAAACTTTACAAAACTATTTTAATTTTAACTAGGCTAAACTTTACAAAACTATTCATCCAAAAAAAAAAAAAGGGCTAAGCCCCTATTTGACTTTACATAGGTCAACCAATCAAACCGACTGAATCAGGCCAAATTGTCCTAGGAATTTTTATTATTATTAAAAATACATGTTTTGAACCGAACCAAGGAGAACTGGTTCAGCTTACGATTTTCTAATTCCAAGAGTCATTATACTCTAACATAATTGACTTTTTTTTTTTTTTTGCTTATTTATGCACATGCCTTATGTCCTTTCAAAGTTGTCTCAGATTACCACATGTGCTTAGAAACGTCTCAAAATACCCCCTACACTTTTAAAAACTGTCCCACGTTACCCGTTCGGTCAGTATTAAGAGACGTTCCGTTACATGGTGTGGACCCCACTTCTTTTAAATCCCTTAACAATGGAAAGTAAAGGTTATTCAGTTTCAGGAAAGGGAAAATTGGGAGAAGAGGGCTAGGGTTATTCAATTCATCGCTCATCCACTCTGAAATCTGAAGAGCATGGCCATAGCGATGATACCCTCTGAGCCGCTTGATGAGACCTTGGAGCTCAGGCTCCTTCACGTCTCCCTTTTCAACCTGTCATTGATGGAGCACTGACAGAATGGAATCTCTAGGGTTTCGAATATGCCAAAACCTACTGTGCAGAAGCTTAAATGTGGGTGATGAAGAGAAGGGCAGCACCTCAGTGAAGTAGGATAGTGCACCAAAAATCCTAAACATATTTTCATAAGGCTGCTGGAAAGATTTTCATAAACCCTACACTCTTCTCCCAATTTCCCCTTTTATGAAACTGAATAACCCTTATTATCTATTGTTAAGCGATTTAAAAGAAGTGGTGCTCACACTACGTAACGGAACGTCTGTTAATACTGACAGAACGGATAACATGAGACAATTTTTAAAAGTGTATAGGGTATTTTGAGATGTTTCAAAGCATCTGTGGTAATCTAAGACAACTTTGAAAGTACATGGGATATGTACATAAAATAAGCCTTTTATTTTGTTACACATGTCGTCGTTCCAATGGCTTAATACCTTAGATAGCTAAACTCACTCAATGGTGTCCAAAGCACATCCCTGATAAGGGCAGTTTTTCTTACTGGCGACTATACATGTTCTTACACATATTAGCACTTAGGCTAGTGGAATTGATCAGACAAGTACCAATAGCTTTCCGTAGATTTGAATGTTACAAAGCATGCTTGAAGTAACATAAATGTTCATTTAAGAGTAGTGTTAAAAATTAATACACACTTGTGTAAAAACTAGAAAAATCTAGAAAACATGAGAGAATATATTATATGTCTCAAGTTCAATT